GATTTGATAGTCTGGATAGGGCTTTAGAATAAAAAGAAATGGATCCCTTTTAGGTCAGCAATCCAATGTAAAACAAAATTTTAAAGAAATTTCACAATTTACCACATTCATGGTGTACCATTACTTAAAAATAAAACAATAAAAACTTTCATATTTACTTATCCTTTGCTGAATCTAACTCTTTCTCTTTTGCTTGTAACTTTTTTGTAACATCAATAATCTGTTGAGCATTCTAGGAATAAACAAATAATATGGTAATTTTCCACATAAATATGCAAATTTCTTTATGAATATGTTAATAAGCTACTGCTTTCCAGCGATACACAGTGGCAATAATATACCTCTGATGTACTGTATGATCATTCATTCAGGCAATCATAAAAAATATTCAAAAATAAGAAAAATAATGCAGTTTTTAGATACAATGTAGTTGTTAATGTTAAAAAGTCTATATTAATCCCGCTGTCTATTGAACAGATAAACATTAACATCTAACTGTCTAAAAAACAAAAAAGCTATTATGTTTTTAAATAATTAACTATTGCACTATACCGTAAATACTCGAATATATATAAATTTCTTGAAGCTTCAGTGCGGCGCTTATTCAAGAGTGGCATATATTTGAGAGCGGCTCTTATAAAAAAAATGCCCGTTCCCATATCACATAGCTCACGTATTCCCGTAGCCAGCCCATAAAATTTGGAACAAATTAGGTCGGCAAAAATTTGACAAGCTTAAATTCTCCGAGGACGGCAGTCTCTGCAATTTTTTACTACCTAGGCCTATAAGTATAAACTACGATTTTTTCAAACGCTCGACTTTACATCGTCATCTACTGATCGTGAATTTGTTAATTTCTCTATTAAATCAATATACTGCTGGTGAAAGAATGGTTGTACTTGCATTAATTTAATAGTGTAGTATATTTTATTATTGTATTACATAAGAAAATCACAGAATAAATGTTGTTTTAGCATTTGTTTTAGCATTATCTTTAGCATAGGAAATATCACTTTCATAAAAGCTACTATCGTATCATCACAGGCTGCTTCAAAACTGCACATGCATGTCCATGCGCATGCCCCAAACGATCTATCAGGGATTTTCCACACATGTACACAACACATGTACTTGTTTTCAGTAGTGACGTCACAATGCGATTGTGATTGCCTTTAAACGGATGGTAGAATTAGGCCTAAATATGTAAAAATTTGGTTGTTTTTAGATAATAAACAATATTTTAAATATGATAATAATACTGTAAAATGAAGACAAATTTAGATAAGCATTACGATAGCTTCACTGGGCGATGTTTTAGGCTGGCCTTCGCCGGCTAGCGTCATTCCTACCTAGGCCTAGCCTACAAAACGACTAGGTGTTGCTAGGTGAGAAAGACAAGACGACTGTACAAACAAATCTGTTTTACGAATGACTAATTTCCTTGGTTTGACAACGTACATGCAATTTTGTGTCTGCTATAGCCTGTTTCAGTCAAAGTTGTTACTTTCCAAGCAGTTTTGAAGCAAAGAAATCTAGGCCAACTGTAGGTCGGCAAAAAATAGGCCTAGCTGCTGTACGCCTAGCCGATACGCAGTGTGGCTAAGTAAAGTTTTGTTTCTCTGAGCATGTGCAGATTGTGTTCATCTGGCTCATTTGCATAAATACCACACATAAGGCTAATTCAAGTTAGATGCCTTTAAACCAGCCACATCCTATCCTGGTAACAGTTATAAGTCCTTGGTTATACTGTACTACGGTATAGGAAAATCAGACATTAGCTTTAAACATTCTGTTGATAATGGCAAGGAAAGTATTTTCTTCTTAAATGTATATAGTTTGATTGAAAGACAATAACGTAATTTAATTTATTTTATCTTTCACTTTTTTATATTTATAACCAATTATTCTTTTAATTGAAAAAAACTGAGTTTTATTCAAAGTTGAAAATGGATAAAATGTATACATGATCTTTTTAATGAGCATGAAAGTATTTGTATAATTTAAATGTTTGAGGTTTTCCTGATCTAAAATGAAACATAAGGAAGTACTATGTACAATAACCTGATACTTAACCACAGAACTGAAACTGTTAATCCACTGATGCATGCAGTATCAAGTGAATGTACTGTTATTCACACAATCTTGTTCAATGTGAAACAACAGTCATAAATATGTGTACTTGTTGAAGTGGAAACTTCATTTATTAATAATCTACTTAAACACAAATATTGAACATTGATGAACATAAACACCAGTATAAAATTAAAAGAACACAGTGTCTGATGATTGGCTCACCATCTGTCAAAACACTAAAGTCAAATGTCTGATAATGTAGTGATGCTCTGTAGCATATGCCAAAGGTTAAACAGAAATCAGGAGAGCCTCTTGCACTTCCGCAACCAAGATTCTCCAAGAGAATAACATTATGTTTTTAAATATTTTGTGATTAAGTAAAATACTGTAGAAATGTATTGTATATTATGAATGTATTTTCATGTATTTTTATATGCAAGGTTTTATCAAGGCCCCCCTCCCCCAAAAATGTCTTTTTTTAGAGGTCAATAAAGTTTTACTGTTTCTGATTCTGATTCATCTCCAGCAAACTGCTTTATTGTCAATTGTCTCACTGGCGTCAGTGCCGATGGATATCACTATGTCACAAAAATTAAAATTAGATGTTAAAAAAGCTCATTTACAATAACTACTGTAGATCTCCTCAAAGTGACTCCTTCCAACTTGGACCTCTGATGATTGTAATGAGAGCAATGAATAAGCAATTTTTTACTTTTAGAGATCAAAGAAGTTTTACTGATTCTGATTCCTCTCCAGCAAACTGCTTTATTTCAATTGTCTCATGGGCGTCAGTGCACATGGATGTCACTATGTGCAGAAAAATGAAATTATACGTTAAAAAAGCTTCTTTAACTAGATCTCCCCAAAGTCACTTCTCCCAACTTGGGGCCTCTGGGATTGTAATGAGGGCAATGAATAAGATATGCTGTTAGTATATTAGAGTCTGTTGGCTAACTTTGTAATACCTTGAAACTCATAAACATCTCAAGTATAATAACATTACATGCTTGACATATCAGATCAATGAATCATGTATTGTTCCATAGCAGTTGACAGTGAGACAATATTTCCTCCAAGTCAAACCTTGTATAGAGATGAATGTTATATGCGCTACACAAGTGCATAAGCAATTCTATTTATTTTACTTTGACAAAAAACGACATGCCAAAATATGGTCATAATGACATCACATCACGACCATACAGTATATACCTGTAGGCACATCATGACTATATATGGGCATACAGCAGATGTTTGTCAAAGAGAATTTGATAATCTGGCCAGACCTTAACTAGGGAGGGGGATGCTAAAGCCTGGAAAAATTTGAATATTGAATGCAGCAAAATGCCACAATCTCTTCCAGTATTTAAAAATCTGATCTTAAACTCAATTTAAAGTAAGTAATAACTAGTATAATAATAATAATGATAACTAATAATAATAATAAAAATGATATGCAGTGCATAGTTTTCTTTCTTTTATCTAAAATCCTTGTCTTTGTATTGGTCTAATCTATATTTAAGTCTTAATGTATTAATTATGTATAGTTTTTAAATATCCTCGCGGTAGGATACCATCTTGCTGTGAATATTAAATGTATATTTTCGTGAATAAAACTTTTGATTAACTTAAGTTGGCCAATGGCAAAACCTGACTAAACCTTGTCTAATGAGTCTCTATAGACAGAACCTTGTCTAATGAGTCTATATAGACAAAACCAATAAAGAATACCTCGCTTACTTCAATTCCCATGTTCATCTCAACATGATTAAATATTAACTATAAAATGGCAAACATTTAAACTTAAATTGTTGACTCAGATAATCACATATTAATAAATAACAAAGTTTTACTGTTAGTAAACCATAATAAGGACACTGCAGATTAAACTAGTGCAAAAATAATGTTTCGGATATCCATTATTACTTTCTATTTTCTACACATACTTTACTTTCTGTAGTGTAAACCTAATCCAATGTATCTCCATGAGTCATTTCATGCCAAACCAACCATGACCAAAACGTTACCCTTGAATTCTGTTCAAATTTTCAGGGTTTGTTATAATTTCTGTCACTAATAAAAAATCAAAATTTTAATAGCTTGATCAACCAGCTTTTCCAAGATGTACCAAAAAAGTGGCCGTGAAGAGAAAAATAAATTGGCAATTCTGATGTTTTATAAACTAGCAGTAGTCAACACATGTGCTTGTGTTAGATCATGGTAGGTGGCAGGCTTTGTAAGTACAATATGTTGAAATGAAAATGAGTGCGAGAAAATAAAACATGTGAAAATAAATTTCCACTTTTATTTTTCCTTTCGTTAGTCTTACCTCTCCTTTTGTCCTATGGAGATCTGTTAGCTCCTCTTGTAGTTTGTAAACTTTTTGTTCCATTGCAGCACTTTTTTCACCACCTCCTTTTCCACTCCTAGAACAAAGCAAATACTGGCATGAGTAGGGATGGAATAATTCACTATCTGATATTGAATCCTAAAGTAAAAATATATTTTCTATCTGAAAAAAATGATTAAAATTTTCAAGTTACATTCAGATTAATTTTGCCTATTATATTATATTCATGAGTATGTTACATGAAAACAAAGGTCTGTGCTGAATACAAAGAACAGGTAGACTTAGAGCGCTGCCTCTTTATTATTATTATTATTATTATTGATTAGACTAATCATCTATTATTAATATTACTATTATTATTATTATTGTTTAGACTAACATTGTGAGTATATTATAGAACTACTTTTACGGAGAGCCAAGTAATTCCAAGCCAAACCTCTACTTCAAATGAATCTTTTTTTTAAATAGGCACATTGACAAACATTACTTGGCAAATCGATTCAGGACAGCGTAGTACTTTAAAGCCAGGATCCAGAAGAAAAATAATTTTTTTATGTGTTTTGAATATTTAAAGAAACTAGGAGGAAAAGGGTGGTTATGCCACTTTTCTCCCAGTTTTTAAATATTAAAAATTCTGTATCTCATTAACTGGACCATACCCAAGTTTTTCGTCAAACATTATTTTTGTGTCTCAGAAAAATTGTTGTAAAAATTATGAACATATCCCACATCTTCACATGATAATCAAGTGTGAGCCTATAATTTAACCTACTTAATACCTCTAGCTATTCTTTAATCTACTGAAAAAGACTAACCCTGTTTCAACTTGGACCTGTAGTTTAAAATTATCATCTTTCAGCTTGGCAACTTCAATCTGTAGTTGAACATTCTGTGCTTTTACATTGTCAACACTTAATGTTAATTTATTATCTGTAAAAAAAAACAAAAAAAAAAACCCAACATTTTAACAACTTCAGCATCATCTTTTCACCCTGTCCACATAAACTATAAAATTAAGTAAAGATTAGTTGCCTATCTACTAACCCTTCCACCTACAGGTAGGCATAATTAGGTACTACACTTTGAGTCGCAGATATTTTTATAACTTCAACTGTGTTTATTACCATATCATAAATACTAACTGAAATTTGGCTGAAAATTGATAGATAAGTGTGCATAATTGTAAATACTGAGTACAGATATTCCAAACAAGTCACTTGTAGCAAATTATGTTTCAGAGAAAATGGCAAAAACATGCCAGAATGTCAACACTTTAGAAATCTATTTTATTGCCAGATTGGCTTTGAACGTTAATTTTCATTAACCCACATTAGACAATCGTAATGGTTAAACAAATATTTTTTGTGTGAGGTGCCACTCATCTGGAATAACCTTCCAGTGCACATTCGATCTTCAATATCTGTGGCTGTCTTTAGGTCTAACTTACTGTAAAGACTCACCTCTTTAATTAATTATCTTCATATTTATTTTTATTTCATATTGTAACGGTACAGCGAATTATGTCAGCGAAAACGTATTGTCGTAGTGAAACACGATAACCAATTAAGCAACAGGTAGATGCTAATTTGCATGATATACAAAGCGATCAATAAATGATTAATGCAAACTGGGGTGCGGCAGAAGCGGGGGAGAAGGCGATGGGAGAGGAATGACGAAGGATATAGGGAGTATATTGTTCGAAAGCAAAAGTTTTTTTAGGCCAATGTAAATAGATAAGCACTATAGTTTGGCTTATTGTTATTTATTAAGAACCTGTGAGGTGATTTCGGCCTCAGCCAATTGGGTTGTAACAATATATTGTTGCACTATTTGGTTCTGAACTTTGCCACTGCTTCTTGTGATTTGTTGATTTGCTTGGGTTAGGCAATGATGATGACTGCCTGTGGGTTGTGAGGTGCCTAAACTCAGTATGCTACAGTATGTTGTTTGTACTGAACTTCAATAAAATAAAGTATGTGGAATGCAGCACTTTGTATCTGCAAAGAAAGGCGCTTTATACAATAAATGACCTGATTGTATTGGATTGGAATAAGCCAACTTTTATCTATACATCATGCTATGTTGTTTTTTCCCCCATTTTTAATGTAAAACAACATTTTTTAAAAATTTGGTCATGGTTTCTGCCTGAGAAATGCCCAAAATCTTTGAAGGCTGATTTTTCAAATACTGTTTTTTAAAAAGTTGTATGTTTGAACTGCTGTATTACTTCATTATAAAATGCCAAATTTAAATGATTCTTTTACCATTTATAGCTCCTTATTTTACTCTTTAACTCTAAATGAATAACTAAAAATTAGAAATAAATAACCACAAATATGATTCTGAGGAAAGGTTTTCACTAGAAACAGTGTAACAACTAATACTAGTGTAAAGCTACAGTACAGTAGGTCTGAACATGATCATGTCAGGTTTGGCCATGTACATACAGTAGATCCCCCCCTTTATGATCATGTAGGCTTACCAGCGCTACTGTACGTACGGGGTTAGCGTTATTCAGGCTAGAGACTCTTACTGATATTGTAAACTTACCGCAATGTATTACACACGGTAAAATTATTAAAGATCTTGAAAAGATTGCAACAAGTAAATCAAAACAATAACAGGCCTGTTTACTCAACGTCGTAAGACTGAGCATGCTGTTCTAAAACATTCGTGGAAAACGGTCTTAACCTTTGACATCAATTTTTTTTTTAACTAGCCTGGCTATGTCAAATGTATGTTGCATGAGAGATAATTTCCAGCTTACCCCACTGGAAAAATCGTGTCGAATTTCACCTACAGTATGAGGGGTACCCCATGGGTGTTTCATGGTTTTTGGCCAGGGCAGTGTGTGTTTGTGATAGATGCCAATATTTAGTGGCCGTTCCGTTCCCAGTATTGGGATTACCCGTTTTTACGTACTTGGCGGTCAAGAACTTTATCCTGGAATACATAAAAACCATCCATACACTGCGTTTTAAATTGTTTACTGTCAATAAAATCTGCAATGATTACTCGTGCTAGAGGTGTACCTGGGCTTGCAAACTTTATTATTTACAGTAAAGTACTTCATGTATAGTAAAGATGGAACCAAAGTTATGATAAAAAAAATGTCTAGGCATCGTTAGTTTGACAAGTCCGGGCATTTTCAGCTACACCCTAGACTGCCTGTACCAATTTGCAGACAGACAACTCGTGTTTTCAATCAAACTACCTTGCTCTCATGCCAAGCAATGAATCACGTGACTGTGCTTTTAAGGTACAGCGAAGCAAGGGCCTGGCGAACAACATTCTGACTGGTGCGAGAATCCATTGTCGCGTTATTAATAACTATTAATTGGGAAAAAAACTTGTATTTGTGCATGATTTTTAGGGTGGGTGGGAGGGTTTGTATGAGGCTGGGCGGAACACCTTAAAAATGGCTTTAGGATGGGCGCAAGACGTCAAGGCTGGGCGGCCCCGCCCACCTCCGCCCTGCATAACGACATCCCTGCCCTTAATTCGCCCCAGCTACCTAAGATAGATCCCTTGAGACTTCAAAGGGTTAAACCTAACCATGTGAAAAGGAGGTCTACAGTACAGTATGCCTCACTTAATAGTAAATTTCACGCAAGGAGCGGGATGTAATGACCTCACCCAGCGCTGTCTCAGCACCTGCCAAACCACCAATTTTAAGATCAGACAGGGCACAGCTTATCTTCGAGTACCAGGAGAACGAACACACGCTTACGCACCTATAACGCCAGGTTTCATCGTTAGGAATCGTTAGGAAAGTGTTTTAAATTTAATCTTGCTGAAAATTCCTCTAAAATTATGTTTATACACATTATAAATGATAGCTATACTTTCATATGAGTATGGACAAATGAATACTGTATAGACAGTGAAATCCCGATCAACAGAGCACCCAAAGAACAATGGTTCAACTTTGAACTGCGCATCAGGTTTTAGTACAATATTGGAGCAACCTATGACTCTTGGTTTATTGATGTCCTCGTCTCCAATTGTGGTTCCGCGCGGTGGAAGCCGATCTGTATGATACAGTAGTAATTCAAAGGCCTTGTCATCGCTCGCAAACGGCCTTCGTAATTGACGGTCTGTTTTTATCTTAATGGGTTTATTGTGCTTTTAAGCTATGGTCACGGTTTAGAGGACAGCGTTGGATCTCCAGTCACTATAAAAACTCCCTGGCTAAACTACTGTAGGGCTTACAGTAGGCCCTACAGCCACCTGCTCGGCCCAAGTTTTTTCGTGAAGATACCCTATACAGTCTGGCTTACTTGTATAGTTTGCTTAACTGTGAAAAGTAGTAGTCATTGCTCAGCTGAGTTTACAAACTGTGCAAGAGTGGTACCCAACCAGTTTTACGAAACCCTGTTTGCCACATCACAAAATGCCGGCGCTAAATGTACTTTAGTACTGTAACACTTCTACCTTCAAAAATAGTATTTTACCTACTGTGCACTCCTAACAATATCTTACAATGCTTTTTCATCCAGTTCTCTTACTAATTATCACCAGTTTTTAGTATTTTATTACCAAAAACCATGTTCTTTCCCAGCGATTCTTGACCGTAACAACTTGTGATGTTTGTTTATAATAATTAATTGCCAGGTTGTTATCCAATTTTAAGGACAACTCTGTTCGTTGCCAGGTTATTATTTTTATTTTGTTAAAGCGATGCCTTTTCAAAATTATTGTTATTTGTATTATTAGTACAGTAGTACTGTTATTAAATATTCTGGTACAATAATGGCATTTATTACATTTAGGGCCAACAGCTATTGCATACTGAAGCTGCATTCACATCGAATTGCCATCCGAAAATGTTTTGGTGTGAAATATGCATTTTAGGACCATATTTTTGGTCAATATGTAGGCCTAGCTAATTCATTAATAATCATTAAATACATTTAGAGCCAAACGTTTTACTACTTTTAGAGCCTTTATTACATTTAGGGTCAATAGTTATTACACTTAGAAACTTCATTATATTTAGAATACACTCAGGACCATTATTTCATTAAGAGTCAAAAATTATAATTATGACCTTTATTACTGTATATTTAGAGCCAAAAAAATATTACACTGAAAGGACCTTCTATTACACTCGGAGCCAAAAATAATTACACTCAGGACCGTATGGCAAACGTTACCTACAGTAACCACTACTACTGTAATTCAAAGTCGCTTAGCTCAGTAGCCAAAAGGTCCACTGATTAATGTCAGATAAGACAGTATTCATACAGCAAGTATCGATGATGACATGAAATAATAAATCCGAATATCATGGCGTGCATTTCGACCTACAGTTGGAATATGTATTACACTATCTTAGCTGCTCAGTCATACTGTACATGTGCCTATGTTGACATTGACACTGTGTGTTTTCAGCATTGTTTTTAAAGTAATAACCAAGTATCAGACCAAGGAGGTACTGTATAAAAATATTTTTATACCTCCTTCATCAGACATTCACATAAACAACAAAACGAATGAAAATATATTTGGCTTAAATATTATATTCAGCAATAGTGGCATATCCAGGATTTAAAGAAAAGGGATGGGGGGGCTGCTGATGAAATGGAAGTCCACACCACGTCAGCGCCACTGTGGTTGTCGGTGACGCAAAAATTTCAGTATTTTTAGCTCTGGATGTCAGGAAATGGAACTTACCTACAGCAGTACCCGCTGCTACTAGGGGATCGGATTCATCACTAGTCACCAAGCGCAAGCTCAGTGGTCTAGTGGTTAAGACATCAGGCTATATACCTGGAGGTCGTGGGTTCGATTGCCACCCGAATAACTTGCGATTTTTTTTCGCAGGTATTTGGGGACGTACTGAGTATTCAGTATGATAACACATCAGGTGGGGCAAAACATCACTCTAGGATTGATTATTGTAATAATTTTTGAGTCTAAATGTAATAAATGTCCTCAGTGTAATATTTTTTTTGCTTAAATGTAATGAAAGTGATCCTAAGTGTAATAAGGCTCTAAATACAATGAAGTTTCTATAAAGTATAATTCAACAACCCACAGGTTGTGGCCAAATACTGGACCTAAATGTAATGCACTGTATCATGGAAGACCATAATGTAATGGGAATGTACCCAAGTGTACTGTAGAATGTAGGCTAGTTTGGATTTAAACGTCCTAATTGTTTTGGTTTTTTCTACCTTATTGATTACTCTTTTGCTTAATCCTATATTATTTTCTGTATCTTTTCTTTGTTACAGGCATACCCGGCACAAGATTCGGGAATATGCCTTTGTCCATACATTTTAATTTTAATTTTAAAAATTCTGTACTTGGCCCTTATTTTATCTTTAAATTTGTTCTTATATAATTATTCGCATTGTACTAAACTTTGTGCTCTCTTTCATTGTTGTTGTTTTATTTATGGACGAAAATAAATGTCTTTTGAAATTGAAAAATGGTGATGTTCAAAAATAAGTGTCAAGGAAAGTAAGTATGATTGTTGGAAAAATGGTCAGCATATTATTTCTTACCCTGACCTTCGCCTGGGTGAACTGGGCGAAGGTCTGGATCCGCACCTGCATTGCATTAGTACTATATATTTATTTATACCTTCTTTCAATAAATAATGTATGCATTCTACTGCCTTTCTTTTTGCTTCTTTCATGAGTCATCAAACTTGTCATACAGATTGGGGGGTGTTGAATAGGGTGGCTGCCACCGCCATTCGGTGAATGTCACACGAAACAGTGGTGATGTGTTGATGAATTTTACTATAAAAGTGTAATTTCCCGTCATCTAGAGCTATTTCCTAAAATTGTTGCACACTCCCCCCACCCCAACCTTGGTGAGCTTCGCAAATCGCATTATCCACCTTCCATTGCTAAATCCTAGATCCGCCACTGGTAGTAGTAGTGCAGTCTTGCACTCAACAAATAAGTTCTGAATCTGACACTTGACTTTGATTACTAAGATATCGTTAGGAGCACACAGTTGGTAAAAAGACGATTTTTTAAGATAGAAGTGTTACAGTACTAAAACTTAAAAGTGCATGCGATCAAATGCCATTTCACCAACTCAAAAAATTATGAAAACCCAGCCCCAGTTTTTACTTTTCCAATCTTTCGACAAGCAGACCTAGGCCTAGCTGATGACGGTGAAACCTGACATCCACTTTGTATAAAATATACAAAATACAACTAGGCCTAGCCTCTAGGCCAGGGGCCTAGGCATGTAGGGCTAGCTTGCCAACATATGTGAGCTCGAGCATAAAAACCCTTTTCCCCCCGCTGACACAGTTTTATGCCGATCGACGGCTGGGCCTACACTGAGGTAAGAAGACCAGGGTTCAAATTACCATTATACAGTATATTAACTTTGTTTACTTACGTAATTGAATAATTTCCTTGTAAAAATCGCATTGAAGTGCATTTCTTTCTCTTAACTGACGCAGAATGCACTGCTTCCACCCCATCGTCGTCTCCATCTTGCACGCTCTCTTGTTTTGTGTCTATTGGTACCGTCACCGTGCAGCGTATCGTCTGTTTTCTATCGACACGGTCACTGCAGTATGGTGATTTTACTAAAACTTAAGCCAACAACCGAAAGGTCCACTCTGAATAATCTCAGATAAGATAGTGTAATACATACTCCAAGTATCGAAATGCACGCCATTGTGTCGGGATTCAATATTTCGACATTAATTATGTCATCATCAACAATGTTTCTGTTTACAAGATTTACGATAAATTTACCAAATAGGGACTATTAATATTAATATTAATAATATTAATATTGCTATTAATATTGTTATTAATATTGTTGTTGCTCTTGCTGTTGATGTATCATTATCATTAAATAGGCCTACGGTGGCCAAACTATTATATGCTGTACACTATATTACTATTATTATCTCCGCCAGTGGTTACAATTTCATTCTATTTTCTTTGCGTGGAGTGTCTGTGTTGTATTGTCATAGAGAAAATATTTTCTTTATGGTATGATTAGCATGCCTCCTACCTACTGTAGCCTAGGTCTACATCAATGCCGTAGCCAGGATTTTTCAACAGTGCTGGACAATCAGGGTGGATCCACTTTACGCATAAATCCAAATAATGTGAACCCGTTTAATTTTTCTATAAGTTGGACCCATTTTACACAAAAATATTACCAAAATCTGGACCATTTTCTAAAATGTTTACCCGTTTTAAGCAAAATATCAGAAGCCTGGACCCATTATTAAAAAAGTGAACCCATTTTATGCATAAAACTGCATAATTTGGACCCATTTAAAAAAATTTGGACTCATTCTTTGTGGACCCATTAGAAAATTAATTGTGTGGGACTGTCCCCAACTGTCCCAATAGCAGGCTCGGCATTGGTCTACATGCGTCAGATTTTCACAGATGATTTCACATTGAATGGAAGCTTTCATTTTTATTTCGGTGACCATCCGGAGTAGGGTGTGTAGGCCTGTGTAGGGTGTGAATAAAGAAAGACATTTTTACAAACTCAAAAGTGCACAATTTCTACTATAAATGATTTATTCCTTTTGTATATTATGACCCGTACGTATATACTAGTGTTTAATATTATCTACATATCATAGGATTACTGTTTTTCCAAATTAAAAAAAAAATTATAGTTAGTCAACTGAATTTTATATAGCCATTATTAAACAATAATTATACAGCCTTTGACACGGACATCTATTTCGATTTTGTGATACCAAAATTTTACAAACTCCAGTGTTACGTTAACGCAATCTCACAATGACGTCATAATAATCAGTGGCGAATTCAAGTGGGGCCGAGCCAACCCTAAATTTTTCAAAATTATTATTTTTTTAATGGAAAAAACAACAGCAAAATTATAATTAAAATTTAGGTCTGAGAGTGCAATCTAGAGGTGTCACAATCATAAATTTTCTTTCCTCAGCCCCAACCATGGTGGGGCTCATCAGGTGATCTACTTTCCCAAATTGTGCAAGTCCTTCCCTTTGCATTCCTGGGGCCGCCACTGATAATGATAAATTAAGTAAATCACCTTATAGAACCACATCTAATCATACATACTTATGAATAGAATTAACTAACAAATTAAACTGGGCGAACCATATTCAACGTCAAAAGCTAACAAAATCCTTCGTCTGCTAAGAAGAAACAGAGCATATAAAACACTTGTAAGGCCTCGTATAGATTACTCCTGTTCTGTCTGGGACCCATAACAAAAGGAATTTAAAGCTAACTTACAAAGTATACAAAAGCGATCAGCAAGATTCGTTTTAATCAGTGGCATATATAGAATGTGTATAAGAGACAGACGCAATGGAGGGCTCGATGATCAATTGAGGAGCGCTGATTCGCAAAATATGGTGATTTTAAGTGATTTTTAACTACTTGACCCTGATTTTTGGGGGCGACTGGGGGACGCAAGTAAATGTTTTTGGGGGCGTGCTCCCCCGTGCCCTTCCCTAGATACGCCACTTGTTTTAATCAACAACACAAAGAAGAAAAATGTTACCAAAATGATTTCGAACCTCGAATGGGAGCCTCTTGAATATAGACTCAACTCAGGGACTGACATTTAATTTAATTTAACTGACATACAAATTTATAAAAGAGAACATCGCCATCATAGACACCAAACAATATCAAATAAACACTGCTAGCGCTCGTACGAGACAAATGCAGCAATTGCCTTCATCAAACTCCCTATACATACAAGGATTGCTATAAATTTTCTGTGTTCCCAAGAAGGTTTGCTGAGTGGAACAAATTACCACCCGATGTTCGACAAGCACCCCCAATATCAAATTTTAAAACTGTCATAGCCGTCGGAAGAATTTTGCAAGTGGTCCGGCCATTATAGTGAGGGGTGGTTTGGGGGGGGGGGTGTAGTATGAGCACTTGACAAATTTGGTAGTAAATGAAAAGTGGAGACCCGCTATCTCTATCCACAGCTACAGGATTTTGAAATTAGTTGAGGTCTGAGAGCATAATTATCATATCAACCCCACCATGGTTAGTAAACAACTTGTTTGGCGCCTATGAATGTCCGGAAATAGATGCTGGCAACCTAGAGCCTCTTTCCCTTCCCCTCAAGGGGCAGCCACAATATATAAAGTTAGCATGGATGAGAGTCCATGTTGGAAATATGGCATCCAGATGGCACCTCTGGATGCCATGATATAGCAGCTGGTAAAGCAGTAGAAAATAATATTGTTACAAATTTAATTTCTTATCATTGCCATAAGTAGATAAATTGAGTTGCTTATTCCTCCAGAAGAGCAAGAAACATGAATAGGCCTACATATATAATGCATAAACCTAGAATGATTATAATTACATACTGTAACTGTATTGTGCCACACAAATGGACCTGCAGCCTACATGTTATAAACATACTACTCGTACAATTTTAATTAAATTTTCTTGCAAAGTTCAGCCTGGAACATTAATAAGTTATTGATCACGCTCTAGATGATACTATCACTAGAATTGTAAAAAAAAATAATAAGTTAAGTGTTGTGTTTGATTCTGGTAGGCCTTATACTGATTACACATTAATTTTAGTCAACCTTCGGTATATTCATGCAGACAGACCATGCACGTATACTTCCATGGAGAGATCTACCCTGGTAATAAATAAATAACAGAGTATTAACATTAGGGTGATCCAGTTAGTGAGTGGAGAGGGGCACAATGCCGCTGAATCATTTTCTTAATTAACTTGCCCATTTTTAAGTAACATAAAAATTATCAACTTGAACATAAACATTAGTGTATTTAAAAAACGTTTAACCGTCATTTTACATAGAAAAATGATACTTCCAGTATGTAAGTGTTTTATCATCATTATTATTATTATTATTATTATTATTATTATTATTATTATTATTATTATTATTATTATTATTATTATTATTATCCAGTTTAAAAATCAGGGTAACAATTTTTGAAATTTAATAATTTCTTTGCTCAAGTTAAAAATATGTATACCGGTATGCTAATGCAAAAATGAAGTTAATTTCAAAATTATTTTAATGATTTGTGTCATTTTCAAGAGACAATACATCTTTAAACCTTGTTTACCTTGATGCCCAGAAAAAAATGTGAATTAATGATGATCATTATTATGATGAAAGGATGATGATAACAATGACGGTTATGATGAAGGTGATAATGACTACGATGACAGTAATGATGACGATGATGATGTCGATGGCGATGACGTCGACGATGATGATGAACGGTAATGATGTTGATGTAGGTGTTGGCATGTTTGAGAGTGATGGAGAAACTAATGCGGACTAAAGTGAAGTGAGTTCAATCTGGAATCAAACCGAAAAAAATGCCCCAGGTCAGGGTGCAGCAGGGATAAAAGCCCGTGGAAAAATCAAATTTAGGTCGCTATGCTATTTTTAGTCTTATAATAGGCCTAGTAGGTCTAATACTTCCAGAAAGCAAGCGATCCTCCGATTGAACTCTAGGGACTAGAAAGCAGTGGCGGCGCCAGCGGGGGACAGGGGCCTTAAGTCCCCCACCGGAGAGTTCAAGGCCCCTCCCCGCCAGACAGAGCTCGTCCGGCATTCAGACCATAAAACATATAAATATAGGCCCACACCGAGCCAACTCATGTCTGTCACAGTCTGAGAGTGCCATTTCCAGCCATCCAGAGGTTCCTATTCTTAAAGAAAATCTCATTTGGAAGGGGAACCCCCTCTCAGCCACTTCCCCAGCTCGAGCCTACGAGCTCAAGTCCCCCCTGTCGGGGGGACATGTCGAGGTCGTGAGACTAAACTACCGTACTCGCGCGAATAGGCGCCCGGGCGCTTAAAATATTTTTTTTTGCAATTTTTGAAGGGCGCTTATTCAAACGGGGCACTTATTCGAACGGGGCGCTTATGAACACAGAGTGAAAATTGAGGGGGCACTTATGGAAATAGATGAAAATCGAGGGGTTCTTATGAGAACTTATTAAATTCAAGAGCACATTTTGAATGAAAAACGATTATATAAGGACATCAGGAAACCGCAAATTACGAATGGTGGTGCGGCGGAAAAGATAATCGTCCAGAGAGCATGTCTTGTTATGACAAGAATGTTATGTGTACAGTATTACATAACAGCAGAATATCAGATGAAATTAGTAGTGGTGGTTAGCTTGTTGGCCATCGGCCGATTGAGATTAGCATGACGGCATGATCATTGCAGGTTTTCTTGAAAACTCAGATGAGAATGTGTTAAAGGTGCAAATTGTCGGAAAAGAGTAGGACTAGGATATAGACAAAATATGTAAGAAGATGAAAGCAGGAAATGTACTGTTTGTCCAGGGAGCTCTCATCTGTCCAAGATAAATATCCTCATTTTGGTATTGACTAAAGGGGAATGTGATTCCACTCCACACCTCAAATCATGCCAACATCCACAGTCCCAGGATTGATTGGATTATTGAGGGGGCTTTTATTCAAACGGGGCGCTTATTCGCGCGAGTACGGTAATCTTTAAATCCAATCAAGTTGCGGTTGCCATTCCCTAATATTGTGGTCTAAAAGTATAAATTGTGGATGCCCAAAAATCTCATCTGGCAATCCCCCCACCCCCTCAAGGGTTAAAGTTGGTGTATAAATTCATACATGTAAATTTTGAAAATGTGCTGCAAAGCAACTATCCCTATTCCAACCCCATGCAGGAACAGACAAGATTGAAAGTTAGTGGAAGTGGGCTAGATACTGTACCCTCTATCTCAGGTTCATCGTACCATGATTGAAAAAGTCAATGCGATGCGTACATTCATATAATTCATAATTATCATTATATATTTATTTCAGAAAGTAATGGAATTGAGAAAAAGTGGTCCGGCCATAGCCGGTGCGCTTCCGAGGGCCTGAAAACTAAACAAAATTCTTTGGACATCGCCAATATTATTAGTTGGGGGAGGGGGGAGTATTTCATGTAAGTCTCAGTCAATTTTTCGCCTCACCCAATCCATGGTGGGCTGAGTTGGGTGTTGACACACCTGGTATTCACCCGCTTGGTACTTTTATCTATAACCTTATTGTTATAATAAAAAAAATAATAAATGTTTACCTGTCCTCAAATTTAATAAACTCTGGAAATTTGGGCTGGGTCCCTGAGGACCCGCGACAGCCGCAGTGCAGCGCCGCCCGACTTCTTACTCGGTTCTAGACCCGGGTCTCGAACCTAGGCCCTGTTGTGCAAGAAGCAGTAACCATCAATCGTAACCACATATTACCAATCAGCCAAACGCTCAGAACTTAATAGGTGAATGGCAAATCCATCGTTTCGCTAAGCCCCACATAAACACAAGCTTTTATGACAGAAGCGCATTATTAAATAGGCCTACAGTACCAGCTACAAGTTAATTCAAATTAGCAGTGCATAAAATAATTGAATTATTTTCTCGAAGACAGTGAATGGGTGCCCGACAAAAAAAAAACCTCGGGAACGATTAAGAACATGCATATTTTATAATATTTAAAAAGGGTGGTTACGCCCCGATCAATGTCTTAGAAAAATCAGACAATGTGATTCTTTTTCTCCGGAGCCCGGATTTTAAAATGAAGAGGTCCAGCCAAGGAGTATTAAACCCTGTCCAGACTACCAAATTGTATATGATAAAATATGTGATATGCCTAAATATGGTCATGGTGACATTCCATCACTACCATATATAGGCATATTAGGACTATATATGGGCATACAACTGTGTTTTTGTCAAAGACAGAGCTTTAGACACAGATAATCAACATCCAAATAATGTTAGGCGATTACTTAATTAAAAAGCATGTAAAAATATTTTGAAATTGTATGATTGATATATTCTCAACATTTGCCTACGACAATAAAAGTTTGCATATCATCAATGTTGGGGTTTTAGTTATTGATATAATATTTATTCGTCATCGATATTTGTTGATGTGTATGTCGTTCAGCTGTGTTGAATCGTCATCTAATTTTGCCACGTTAAGTCGTCACTACGACGGCACTACATTAACCTCAATGATCATGAATGTTGCATGACCGACATCTGAAAAAAATGTTAAAAAATTACAAATAAAACTAATAGATCTACCAGCATAATTTCGATTATGTCCAAATATAACTTAATTAGTACACTAACACTCGGCATGTATAGAAATTACTTGTAAAGGGGCCTATCACTATCCGAAAATCTGATCAATTTGCCTTTCGCACATTACATCTGAACAGTCAATTTATAAAATTCATGTTTAGGTTACTCGAGAAAGGACCGCCTTCCCGAGGCTATGTATACCATAATGTTTGGATAATCAGTCTAAGTTTGTAAAGCCAAGTAGGCTAACTAATGGATTTAAAACTGTTTCGTCTTTAATTATTATTTTACAATTATTAAAATTTGCAAATGCAAAGAACAACTAAGCCAACGATTTTGTTTATAATAACACAAACACACACCCGCAGCCCCCCTCCACACACACACACACACACACACACACACACACACACACACACA